ATCCTCCTCCGAAAGATCTTGAAAATTTAAATACGTTCTATGATGCAAATCTTTTGATAATCTTTTCAAGTAAAAGTTTTTTGTCACTTTCAATTAACCTTGAAGCCAGTTTCTTTTTGTTTGTTTGTTTGGTTGGTTTTTTTTTTAATTGCATTGTTTTATTAATTATTCGCAACCACTTATTTATGGCAGCGCACTTGTCTTTGCCCATAAAGTGGTAGGGGGAGCATCCGGTTGCCCCCCACCCCCCGCCCTTCCCACCCCATTCCCAAGGGCACGAGCGCAGTGCTTGACAAGTTTAGTTACGGTAACTAATTCTTGCGACCGGTGCTTGGGAAGATAATAATTTGATGCTCGTCTAAGTTACGAATCCTTCAGTTGAGTTGACAGAGCAACTGGGCTTTGTAAGTTAGAAGCGAAGCAACTGTATCACGCGACCCCCTTTGAAATCGTTATCGGAGTAAAATCGACGCGCATAATCGCACAAAGAAAGACAGACATTTTTTTACGTAGAAATCACTTCACAGAACCGATTTATGCAGGGGTGAAACGAGCTTGGCTCGGGGATCGTTATTTCTGACGTAACTGTAAATAGCAAACATTTTGAATTCCTACGTTTTGTCCATGCAGAGAAAGACGTGATTAACATTAGCGTAAGTTAAATATATGAAAGAAATCCTATATATACGCTGCATGAGGTGAAATTGTGTAAGATAATTGAAGGGTAAATACGTTAAGCCAATTTAAGCTGCTTTTTCCGCGATTTTTTTAGACAGGAAAACTGCTTGAAACAAAATGCGTTTTTTTAGCAAAAAAAATAAAGCATGTTCCCACAAGAAACATATAACGCAAAGCCATGCTTTTTAGAGACAACTTCCACGAGGCTATGAATAATATTGCTGTCACTTTTGTGGAGAAATGATTGAAACATCCGTAAATATAGTATTTGAAAAAACACTGGTAGCACATAACTACGCCATTCGTTAAAGAGTTAACCGACTTGACTCAGCTTTACGCTCGCCCAAAAGATCCAAGCCGAGATTAAAAGCGTACCGCAAATTCCTCAAGTACACTGAAATGAACCTCGCTGAGCAGTTTAAGTTATAAGTCTAAACCCTTTGACGACTAAATGTCTCAAAAGGATTCTTAGTAAGTGCTCTTGTGCAACAAACCTGGTGCGAGAGAGTCTTCTTTTCGCAGCGATTAATCTTGAAAACCACTTCTCATAAAGCGGGTGCAAAGTTCAAAAGTTTCCGCCTTTCTAAGAACTGAGATAACTGCAGTGTACTTTCGGTAAAGGTTCGTAGTAAAAACAAAACGTTTCAAATTCTTCAGTAGTATTCATGCAGAGTCGTTTGACTTTATTGACATTAGCAAGGTTAAATACGTGATAAAAGATCCCGCATTTGAACGGCGTGCGGCGAAAAGCTAAAAAATAGCTATGATCCAACTTGATGAAATATTTTGCTGCACGGTAATTTCGGAATGTAACTAGAAGCAAATTTTACTATATGAGGTGGTGAAATCTACTCAAAATGGATGCAATTGTTCCATGTTTGTTTCCTGAGGGCAACTATTTTGAGGACAATAGCAATGTAAAGGAATGAGGGAAAACTGTTTGATCGGGTTGGAGACAAGGATATAAGATAGTTTTAAAAAATTGCCCACGGGCGAACTATGAGAGAGTTCGATCCACATGAACTTAACTTGGCGCCGGCAAAATAGATCTGCTTTAAAAAATACCGCCAAATTCCTTAAGTACATTTAAATCAGTAAAAAGGACCTCGCTGGGCAGATAACTTAAAAACTTCCGATTACTTTAAGGGTGTATCGCCTCGGTGACTTCTCATTAAACCACTTGCTGTCAATTCACGAGATCACAGCGATAAACACGCAAGCGAGAAAAGGGAAGTCACGCCTCCAGCCCATTCCTAAATTTTTCCTAAAATCCTCAAACCGAAACAGTCCTCAAATACATTTCTTTTCAACTACCTTACTGAACATAAAGAGGAAACCCTTGAAAAACTAATGAGAAACTGTAGTCGTGTTATGGCGATAAATCTCTACCCATGCAACATATTGTCTCTATTGACGGTGAGCTTTGTAATTTGTGACGCTCTTTGTCGGGTTGAAGACTAAAGTAGAAAATAATCGGTCCATCGAATAAACTTTTGGCTTTTTAGCATTTTAAAACCTTCGTTATCAGATTCAAACTGATCAATTTAGGAATAAAAAAAAAACGGTTAATGATTATTCGTAAAGCAAATATAGAATTAAAAGATTCTGATCGGTTAAAATTAAAGAATCTGTAGCGAAAATATGCGAGTTTCATCAACGAATTGACTCCGAAGGCATCACACTGAATCGGTAAATAGAACTCTTCACCAAACTTCATCTTGTTTAAAGAGCAAACGCTAGAAATTTACGAATCATCGCGAACGAAATGATAAGCTTTAATTTGTGCTCTAATTCAGTTGAAAAAGTTCACTTATATAATTGTGTTTTGAATACGTGTTTTGTTGTCTTGAGCCTAGGGCTGTAAATCCGATATTATGACCACTCCTCTAACAATATTAACCTTTTGCTTCTTAGAGTTGGAAATACTGTAACTTCTCTTGAAAATTTGAAAACGTTTATATCAAACAATTGACAGAGATACACAAACTTATCAGTTACTGGGCGTTTTCTTCCAACAAGACCTTGTTCTCTCGGCTAATTCGGGAAGAACTGTCTCAGTAGCAACATGACATGGGAATTATTGTATAATCAGATCATAGGAATTAGAGGATGAATGAACGTATGTCGAATTTTCAACCCAGCTATTTTCGTCTGATTCGCCAAATTGCTGGAAGAAACTTATCTGGCTTCTAAAGCAAGGTAATTCAACCGCAAACTGAGCAGATTTTTAGAGAAGGCTTTATAACATTTAATCGATCAGGAAAGAATGATCCGATCCTAAATTGGTTTGGTTAATTTTTCAAAATCGGAGTTAACGATACGTTTTTTACCTCGGAAACTTCAAAAGTTTTAAAGGTGCATCGTTAGTTTACCACCGTACTTGTGGTTCAATCTTATCCTTAACGAAACATAGTGATATTCAAATCGTTTTGGAATAAATTGTGTGTGATAGTTTTTCGTTCAGATCCAATATAATTAAAACCTGATTTGAAACAGATTTTTCAGTTGAACGTCATTTGTACGTCATTTGCACGTAAAGGTGCAGTGATTCTTTCAAATAATCCGTGATATTTCTTTGAAAAAGACGCTTCTTCACAACTCGATTTCCCAGCTCTCATAGTGACAAAACAATGGGTCTTTCTTTAGTCTAGAGAATATAGTTGAATAGAAAAAATGCTTGTACATGATATAGGCGTATTTTCCTCAATTATCTAGTCTCATTTTCTCTACAAAATACCGACATTGGACTGCCTAGAATTTTAAAGGTAAATTTCCCACTAAGATTGAAATGTTAGCAATGCCGCAAAGAATGGTGACATTCCGAACGCAAAACTTTGATTTAAATTACCGAACTCATCTTTTTTTTTCCTGAAGGGATCGATTTTTTTACCTGCCTTGCGGGTGATTGTTGAAGGATCCAACTGATATATCAAACCCGCTTCCTTCCGGAGGAGATGACCCCAAATCAAGTCCATTTAAAGGGCACAGCGAGCTCGGAAATGAAATTGATTTGTCGGTAATTCAAGTCAATTCACTACAGCTGTACAATCTTCACAAAAAAAAACTCTCAAATTAAGATCTGAGGTAACAGGAAATCTTAAATCGAGCTTTCTAGAAGACAGCTGAGCAATCAATACTTAATACAAAAGCTATCAATTAAACAGCCCTTCAAGACCCATTCCAAAAGCTTCGATTTCAACCAACTCGAGTTCGATGCATCTGTGACAATCAAAAAAGCAACGCCTGATCGCGGTGACTCTGAAACACGTATTTAACAAAGACTATTTTTGCGCAATACCTAATTACCGAGAGAAAAAAAAAATGTTCCGTCATTATTTGATTTATTGGCACTCATGTGCCTGTTGTTCTGTGTACAGTATCCATTTCAATCCTGAGGGCAGCCGGTTAAATTCAAGTCTTAATGTTCGCTGACAGACAGAAGTGATCGATGGTAATCTTTGAAGAAGTATTAAAATTATTTTCAAGGATTCTTTGTCGCAGTGGCTC